TGCTCATGGTTTACTGCAACCTCAACCTCCCTGGCTCAAGTGATCCTCCCACTTCAGCCTGTTGAGTAGCTGGGACCACATACATGCATCACTACACCTGGCTAATTTTTAAATTTTTTTGTAGAGACAGGCTCTCCCTATATTGCCTCGGCTGATCTTGAACACCTGGGTTCAAGTGTTCCTTCTGCCTTGGCTTTCCAAAGTGCTGGGATTATAGGCATGAGCCACCATGCCCAGCCAAGAATATATTCTCACAGAATGTCAGAGGAGTTGAGGCGGGATGTGTGACTAAGAGAGTAGATATAAAGTCATTGCTGTGGCTATTAATTCTCTACTTCCCAAGTCACCCACTGTGATATAAGGAAAAGCATTAGATAAATTCTTGGCATCCTGTCCTACTTCTGTCACTAGCTAGTTGTGAGATTTCTCAATTTATTAACTCACTTTAAGCCTCAGATTCTTCATCTGAAAATTGGGTTGTGGTTGAGGGAGTGAGATAATGTTTGGATTAGATCAGTTGTTCTGAACTGAACTGTATGTTGAAATCATACGGGGAGCTTTAAAAACTACTAATCCCTGAGTCTCACTCTCAGAGATTTTGATATAATTAGTCTGGAGTGGTACCTGGCCACTGAGGTTTTTGAAGCTCCTTGGGGACAGTCTAATGTGCAGCCAAGGTTTACCACCAGTGAATTTGACGAAAACGTGAACATTTGTTGCTACTTTGTGAAGTGTGGAAAGAGAAAGTCAGAGAAGCTTAAGCAATACTGCCCTTGGACCCAGGCACTCAGGGTCCTGTTGTGGGCCCTGATTTAGAAGGGCCTTGCTCCAGCTCTTCTTGGACTGTGCCCTTCCCTCAGGTGGGGAGAATATCAGAGGTGGGAGGAGTCTGCAAGGTCAAGAGGACATGCCCACACTGAGACCCTCTGTTTAAAACCCTCTTTGGGGCTGGGTGTGGTGACTCTCATCTGTAATTTCAGCACTTTGGGAGGCCAAGGCAGGCAGATCACTTGAGGCCAGGAGTTCAAGACCAGCCTGGTCTTGACCTCGTCCTGACCTTGTCTCTACTAAAAATACAAAAATCAGCCGGATATGGTGGTGCGCACCTGTAATCCCAGCTACTTGGGAGGCTGAGGCAAGAGAATCACTTGGGCCTGAGAGGCAGAGGTTGCAGTGAGCCAGGATTGCACCACTACACTCCAGCCTGGGCGACACAGCGAGACTACGTCTCAAAAAAACAAAAACAAAAAACCCTCTTTGGGTACCCAAGACCTGATGTTCTCTACTCAAAGAGCCCTGAGCCTCCCACCAGGGCCTACATTGGCCTCTTCCCCAAGTCCATACCCCAGGGACAAACTGTGCTGCAAGTATGCACATCCCTAAGCCCAAGGGGTGACTGATTGTAAGAGGATGTAAATGGAAAGTGGACTGCAGGTGGGAGTGTCAACATAGGTGTATAGTCATTCTTTGAGGGCTGCTGAAGCCAAAGGATGAGGATGGCACAGGGGTAGGGGGTTAAATGCCTGCCCCCTACTGGTTTGCCAAATGGGATGACAATATGGGCTTCCAATGTGAGCCAGAAAAAGCCCTCAGGGAATGACATATGGATATGCTGGGTTAGAAGTCATACTGGTGTGTGTTGAAGTGATGAGAATCAGTGGGCATGCAAGGTGGGCCTGGGGTAAATCCACTGATGGTTCTACTGACAACCAGAAATGGCTTTCACTTGGGATACAGTGTGTTGGAGGTGGTGATGGAGGTGCTAAGCTAGGTGTTCTTGAATAGTAGTTTCCAAATTAAGGACAGGTGCTGATCTGTAATAAAATTTTCTTGGTGTACTGAAAAGATAAGAAAGGCCAAGAGTAGCGGCGGTCATGCCTGTAATCCCAGTGCTTTGAAAGACCTAGGCAGGAGGATCGCTTGAGGCAAGTTCAAAACCAGCCTGGGGCCAGGTGCGGTGGCTGAAGCCTGTAATCCCAGCACTTTGGGAGGCTGAGGCGGGTGGATCACGAGGTCAGGAGATCGAGACCATCCTGGCTAACCTGGTGAAACCCCGTCTCTACTAAAAAATACAAAAAACTAGCCGGGCGAGGTGGCGGGCGCCTGTAGTCCCAGCTACTCTGGAGGCTGAGGCAGGAGACTGGCGTAAACCCGGGAGGCGGAGCTTGCAGTGAGCTGAGATCTGGCCACTGCACTCCAGCCTGGGCAACAGAGCAGACTGTGTCAAAAAAAAAAAACAAAAAACAAAAAACAAAACCAGCCTGGGCAGCATAGCAAGACTTCCCCCAACCCACGACCTCCACTTCTACTATATATAGTGTATATATATGAACACGATACATATACTATATAGTATATACATATATACATATATACACACACACATATACACATATATGTGTGTGTGTATATATATATATGTGTATTTTTTTGAGATGGAGTCTCGCTCTGTCGCCCAGGCTGGAGTGCAGTGGCCGGATCTCAGCTCACTGCAAGCTCCGCCTCCCGGGTTCACGCCATTCTCCTGCCTCAGCCTCCTGAGTAGCTGGGACTACAGGCGCCCGCCACCTCGCCCGGCTAGTGTTTTGTATTTTTTAGTAGAGACGGGTTTCACCGTGTTAGCCAGGATGGTTTTTTGTATTTTTTTAGTAGAGACGGGGTTTCACCGTGTTAGCCAGGATGGTCTCGATCTCCTGACCTCGTGATCCGCCCGTCTCGGCTTCCCAAAGTGCTGGGATTACAGGCTTGAGCCACCGTGCCTGGCCTCAAAATTTTTTAAAAATTAGTTGGGCATGGTGGCACCTGTAGTGGCACACCTAGCATGGTGGCATGCTAGGACCTGTAGTCCTAGCTACTCAGGAGGCTGAGGCAGAAGGATCCCTTGAACTCAGGAGGCAGGAGGTTAAGGCTGCAGTGAGCTGTGAGCGGGTCACTGCACTCCAGCCTGGAGTGAGACCCCTTCTCAAAAACAAACAAAAAACCAAACTTGGATAACTGACAAACAGTTTAGTATTTAATTACATGGAAAAACCAACAAAACAAGACAATTATTAACTCCAGAAAAAACTAAAAGTTGTGTGGGAAAGGAAAAGTAATCATAGTTTGGTACATAACTTGGCTGTGACTACCGTTTACATGATTATAATAGCATATGTACTGAAGATTAATCAAAATCAGAATGTAACTATCTTGGGAAGATGGAGAGATTAAAAAAAAAAAAAAAAAGGTTGGGGGTGAATATGGGGTGAAAGTAATGGAGAAAAAGAGCTAAAGTCTCCTCTTGTGTCTCAGCACTCCACCCAAGGTAGAGCCTCTGAATGGAAGAAGGACTTTGCCGCCTCTCCACCACACTTCCCCAGGATTTAGCTTCAGCATCAGGTAGCTAGGGGCAAGATGAGAAATGCTGACATGCTGGTCTCTGACTGGGAGCTGTGGGAAGAGAGAGGTTCTTAGTTGCAGCCGTCTGGAGTGGAGTCTGTCTTGCTGAACAAAGGGAGAGGTTTGGTTTAAATACCACAAACTCTCACATTCTGATGCAAGAGTTTTTATAGATTTTTTGGAATACATGTTTCTTCATTTGTTGTTTGCCCTTAGGACCATTTCAGAGGCTTAAAATAGTTAATGGTTGTTTGTTGTTTTAAATAATTTTCAGTTTCACTAGGGGTGAATCCTGAGCTCTTCATGCCGTCCTGCAGTTAGTCTCTCTTGGTATTATTCTTCACCTTCCCTGTGAGTTTAAAATTATTTCAAGAAAAGTTAAAGCTTTTTAAGAATCACAATAAAGTAGATAGATAATAGGAATAAATAAAAACTTAGCGGGGCGCGGTGACTGACGCCTGTAACCCCAGCACTTTGGGAGGCCGAGGCGGGCGAGGATCACTTGAGGCCAGGAGTTGGAGACCAGCCTGGCCAACATGGTGAAACCCTAAAATTAGTCGGGCATGATGGCCTGCGCCTGTGGTCCCAGCTACTCGGGTGGCTGAGGGGGTTGGATGGCTTGGGCGCGGGAAGTCCAGGCTGCAGTGAGCCGTGATGGCGCCACTGCCTTCTAGCCTCGGCGACAGTGCGAGACCCTGTCTCAAGAAGGAAAACAAAAAACAAAAACATACACACAAAAAAACCACAAAGTGCGTTCACGTTTGCTATGACTCCCAGACATCAAATCATAAACACTCGCGCCGAGCGCGGTGGCTTACGCCTGTAATCCCAGCACTTTGGGAGGCCGAGGCGAGCGGATCACAAGGTCAGGAGTTCGAGACCATCCTGGCCAACAGTGAAACCCTGTCTCTAATAAACACAAAAATTAGCGGGGCGTGGTGGTGCGCGCCTGTAGTTCCAGCTACTCGGGGGGCTGAGGCAAGAGAATAGCTTGAACTAGGAAGGCGGATGTTGCAGTGAGCTGAAATTGCGCCACTGCACTCCTGCCTGGGCCGCATAGTGAGGCTCCGTCTCAAAAAAGAAACAAAAAAAAAAAAAAAAAAAAAAAAAAAAAAAAAAAAAACCAAAAACCCTCGCAGTGTTTACTCCTAACGCGTGGAACTTGTGTCGACATCCACCCTCGGTTACTGCATACTCAGTCACACAAGCCAAAGCAGGAAACAGCGAGCTGGCAGCCTCACCGACGAGTCTCAACTAAAAAGGACTCCCGGAGCTAGGGATGGGGACTCGGCCTAACACAGTGAGTGCCGGCTATTGGACTTTTGTCCAGTGACAGCTGAGGCAAAGCCCAGGGCTATCCAAAGACCACGGGAGGGGGTGTGGGAGAGAAGCGCTGCGAACAGCCATCGCCCAGCACCGAGTCCGCTTCCAGGCTTTCGGTTTCTTTGCCTCCATCTTGCGTGCGCCTTTCGGGCGTCTAGGGGAGCTAAGGCTGAGGTGTCAGCGGCAGGAGAGTCCGGCCGCGACAGGACGGTACGTGCCCCACGCTCTACCCCCCGCCGGCGGCGCCGGAGCTGTCCCAGACCCCAAGCCCCGACGCCCGGCCCTGAGTCAGCGTTGCAGCAGGCCCTGCGCGGCCGCGCGCCCGCGTCCCACTCCTGCCGCTCCTCACAGCCCTGCGCTCCGGGAAACTGCAGGTGGCCGGCAGTGGCCAGGGGATGGCGGGGGCGCTTGTGGAACCTGACTCAGTTTTGTAGATTTCTTATCTCGGTTGTTTACCGCGGGCTGAGCGGAATGCCCCCGCTTCCGCTTCCGCCCCGCTCCGAAACCCCGAACCCCTTCTACTGGCAACTCCGCCCCGGATTCCCAAAAAGGGGCGACCTGGGCCACTGCGGTCCAAGCTTCACCCCGATGGACCTGAGAGACCGGAAGTAAACCTTGGCTAACTCTAGCCGCCCCCTGCAGCCGCAACCGCAGAGGCCCACCTGCGAGCTTCAGTGGCGGGTCCTCAGCGTTGTGTAAACTTTGCTTAAAATGATCTTGAGAGTTCAATTCTTGGAGTGAACTGTTGAGAAGATCTGGCACTTTTCCTTTCGAAAGTTGTTGGGAACGTGAAAGTTGTGTGTGCGTTCGACCTCACTCAGTGGGAGCCGCCGCCCTGTAGGGAATTTAACAATAGCCTAGTCAGGGCTGTTATTTTCCAGAGCAGTTTAATATCTATTTTGCCCAAGTGCAAGGAAAGCTTGCCTTGGAAAAGCTGGGAATGCCTGACTGAAGAAACGTTTTTAGAGCCTTTTAAAATGAACCTGTTTCTGCCATTTTTCCACCGCTTCAAAAGGACTGGGAAATGTAAAATGACTTCAAGATGTTCTTACTTGAGAGTGTCCGGATTTGGACAGAAGGCCATGTTCTTTTAATATTAACAGTGGCACGCAGTAGAACAAAGGCCACTGAAATTCAGAATCAGTTTTTGGCTCCACGGAGTAGGAAGTAAATTCAAGGACGCCAGAGGTCTTGCGAATGTTTTAATTGGTTAACATTTGAAATTTGTTCTTAAGCAATGAGGGGTGAAACCAGTAGGGGGTTAGCATATAGCATAAGTAAAGCGTTTTGAATATCAACAAACTGCAATAATCTAGAACTGAGAGCGGGCTCTGGAAGGTTTGACCTGCTTTAGAGAGAGATTTCAGATAAGAAGAACGGAGTTTTTGGCCCTTTTCGGGTTGGTGATTCCCCTAAATAACCTTACAAAAGTTTTGTTTAACAAAAAACCTGGCTCGAGCTCCAAGATCTTTTTTTTTTTTTTTGAGACAGAGTTTCACTGTTGTTGCCCAGGCTGGAGTGCAATGGCACGGATCTCTGCTCACCGCAACCTCCGCCTCTCGGGTTCAAGCAATTCTCCTGCTTCAGCCTCTCAAGTTGCTGAGATTACAGGGATGCACCACCATGCCCTTAATTTTGTATTTTTAGTAGAGACGGGGTTTCTCCATGTTGATCAGGCTGGTCTCGAACTCCCGACCTCAGGTGATCCGCCCGTCTCGGCCACCCAAAGTGCTAGGATTACAGGCGTGAGCCACCGCGCCCGGCCCAACTCCAAGATCTAAACAAAAAAGACTGGGTCGAAAGGGAGTTTTGAGTGTTTACTGTTTGCTTTACATACATTTAATGTTTGTAAATGTTTGCTTTACATACATTTTCTTGTTTTGTTAATACTTGTTTTACTTACAGCTTTTGGGTCAAATGTCCTCGTTAAAATGGCTTTCTCTAGCGACTTTATGTTTTACGTTTCTGTTTGTAACTGACATTTAACCTCCTTACTTGCTTCCTTATACCGGTTACTTGCTTCCTTATACTTGCTTGCTTCCTTGTACCGGTTTCCAAGGTGAAGCCATTTGCAGGGTCGCTGGGTTTCCCCCTCCCCCCGAAAGTCTTGCATGACCCGGGGTGGGCGGGATTACGTGCAGTTTTTTGAGCCTTGGGCTGGGGGCCTCAAGGAAGCTGAAGCGGAAATTGCCTAGGCCCCTGGGGCATCGGAGGTCCTACCACAGCTCCTAGTAGGTGGTGGGGGCGCACCGGCGGTCCCCACTCAGTCCTGGTGGGGCCGCACGTAACTGTCCTGAGATATGCATAAGCCCTTTGACCACGCATGGAGAATATCACCGCCCAGAGACACGCGAGTGGCCCTGTGCAAGTTTCAACTGCGCGGGGGCGGGGAATTCCGGAGACAGGATTCGAGAATTTATGTCTTGTGTGGTAACATTTCAGCCGGTGGGCGGCGGGGATTAGGCGTGAAGCGGTTCAGTAGGCAGAAGTTTTCGGACGCCCTCCGGCGAAGCCACCTGTTGATATATTTGACTTTCTGTCCTTGTTCCTCGTCCCATCTGGAGCATTTCCAATTCTGCTTTTGCGGAGCAGCAGGTCTGAGCTTGTCCGGCGAGGGTGGGAGTTGGTCCCGGCGGAGATCCAGTGGGAAGAGCCGACGGCTGCCCGGGCGTGAGTAGATCGAGAATCCTGCCCGATCCCCGCCCCTGGGCTGGTGTCGCCCTGGGCTCCTGAGACGTTGGGGCACTGTCCCCCGATACTGGCAGAAAAGGATTGAGTCCTCGCTTTTGGCCCTAGGTCTCCTCCTTGAGCCTCCAGTGGACTCACAACACTCCGAGGCATATTGCTCTTTCAAATACCAGGAATGGACTCTGGGGAATGGGGCACCCTTGAAGTCTGATTATTTCTTCCCTGTAGAGCCCCAGGGGCTAATTAAACTCGTGTTTATGGACTCCAATGCCTCCTTGCCTTTAATTCAGTATAATCCTACCAACATTTATTGAGCTTCTCTGGGCCAGGTAGAGTTCTGGGTGCCGAGGACATAGAAATGGATCTAAACTTGATTCTTGTCCCCATAACCTCACAATATGGTTGAGGAAGACTCAACAGTTACCTAAACACAGGTAACTTCGAGTCAAGGCAGTTTAGACAAGATCCACTGACAGCCTGCCTGGAGGAAGCCTGTGGGCCACCATGGTGGGGCAGTTATGACACCATGGGTTCTTTTTGTTTATTTGTTTGTTTGTTTTGTATTTTCTTTTAGTATGCCCAGGTAACTTGCAGAACCCAATCGTTCTTTCTTACTATAGATCGGTGAGGTGAAAAGCACTATCATTATTGGAATGCCCTGTATCTCCCTTATACTCTCCTCCTGGCATCTCCCCTCAGAAGACTTGACACCCCACCCTGGTGCCCTTTCTCTGTACTTTCATATGCTCAGCGGCTGTCTTTGCACTTGCTTCAGGATTGTACCTAACATTCTGTACTGTAATGCATTTTCTTCAGACACTCTTCAGTCAAGTTGTATTACAATTACCTGGGTTAAAATACATGCAAAGTAAATAGAGAAAACCCCCAGGGGTTCATTCCCTAGAGATAACCAAAGGTTTCAGTATAATGTTTTGTTTTGTTTTGTTTACCACATTTGTGCTCTCAAATACAGTCTTTTACATATTTTTTTTTAAAAAACACTCATAATATTTTTGTTTTCTAGTTTGCAAAATATTTCATTTTTAAAAATTGTGTTTATTTACAACCTGCTTTTTTCTAAAAAAGATTCAAGGTGGGGCCTTTTTTTTTTTTTTTTTTTTTTTAGGTGAGATCTTGCTTGTTGCTCGGGCTGGAGTGCAGTGGTGATCATAGCTCACTTCAGCCTCTAACTCTGGGCTCAAGCAATCATCTCACATCAGCCTCTGGAGCAGCTGGAACTACAGGTGCGCACCACCACACCCAGCTACTTTTTTTTTTTTTTTTTGAGACAGAGTGTCACTCTGTCGCCCAGGCTGGAGTGCAGTGGTGCTATCTCTGTTTGCTGCAGCCTCTGCCTCCTGGATTCAAGTGATTCTACTTCGAAAATTGCTTGCTTTTCTACACTTGTTCTGTATTTTGGTCTCCACTTCTAGCCACTTTCTTTTTTTGGTGATTTAGGTTTTTGGCCCAAATAGATAAACATCTTCTACATTATTTTTCTCTTATTCTCGATACTGAGTTGCCATCTTTGTTGATTTAGTACTTGTTATGAAAGAGAGAAGCTACACACCACTTGATACTACTTTCATCTGCATACTCAAGATAATTTGTATCTTCTGCAGTGAACTCTTCAGTTGAAGAAGTGAATCATTTATATGTATATTTGTATACTTTAAAAAATGTAATTGAAAAATCCTCTCATAGTTACTTACTCCAAGGTTTAAAATATTTCCCAGGGTAATGAGTTTCTTTAGTCATGTGACTTTAGAAATGGGAACCAAAGCTACCTTACCTACTTGTGAAATTCTTGAGTTTTCTCCTTGAACTTCCTTTGTATCTTCCCTTTGGCTTATATAGCTGTGTTTTTTGTTTGTTTTTACTTGCAGCTTTTAAAAGTAGTTTTCAAAGTCAATGAGATTGTTTAAAAGAGTAGGTACCTGACAGTCTCTTGCTTGAATACTATCTGGTGAGTAAACCAAATTCCCTGCAACAATAACCACAACTTTGAATCAAGAGTTAAATGAAAAAAGTAACTCCTTCACCGTTTACTGAGCACCTACTGGGGCTAAGGAATGGGAGCACGTAGATCTCTCTCTGCTATCCTAAGCTCCCTTTCTGGTCGTAAAACAGAAGCAGCACAAAAGTTTCGCTCAAAACCTTGGCCATGGTATGCTATTGAAACCCCATAGTTCAGATTTTATACTTGACTTGAGTTCTATTCTAAGCCATGGCTGGATTATTTTAATCTGGCAAATAATCATAAGGCTGGATTATTTTAATCTGGTAAGTAATTATAAGGTTGTGCTCTGTGATGGAGCTGTTAATAAAATATGTGGTAGCACAGGCAAGTTATATATATAGCACAAAGCTATACCCCCAGAGGAGACACTATATCAGTTGCTGTCTGCCTAGGCTTTCTGTAAATGTGCTGGCTATCATTCAGCCTAAATGTAGAATGAGTCTATCCCTTTAACCTGGGTAGTCACCAGGAATGTCAAGGAACCTAGAACAAGGAACCAGGCAAGAGATGAGAAACTAGGGGGACGGATGTGTAGGTACCAGGGATGGTGATGAGACTGAAGCAAGTGGGGAATTTTTATTTTTAATTTTATTAAATTTATTAAATTTAATTTTTAATTTTAATTTTTATTTTCTTCTCTACTTTTCTCTATTTTCCAGATTTTCTTAGAGCAAAAAGCAGGTAGTGCTTTTTATAGAAAATGAATGCTATATAAAAGTAATTTTAAGAACTTTATATCCCTAGTATCATGTACAATTTCTGACTTTGAACAGAGCTATCTCCCAAAGGGCAAAGTTTGGCCCTTTAGTTACAATGGAGAATCTGTTGTGTAAACTGAGCAAATATACCTGCCAAGTTGAAATTTAATTTAAGCCAATTGTGTCTAGATTAACTTAAGAGAATGTCTCCTAAATATTTTATTGCAGTAATGTAGCATAATTGATAGTATGCTATTCTCTTGAATAGGTGGGATTGTTTCTTGAGCCACTTTTTATTCCTTTGATCAAAACCTTGAGGAGAAGGAATGCCTGTTTTCCTGACTGCTGTTGCATGAAGTTAGACATCCAGTTCCTCTAAAGGTGACATCAGATGGTTTAGATACCTAAAAAGAAGTGAGGCTAAGCCATAGGTCTTCTTCATACTACCTGAAGTTGAAACCTGGTCTCTGAACTCAGTCTTTGCCAAAGCATTAAAATCTGACATCTTGCTTAAACTCAGGCAGCTTGACCTGTTGTTCATTTTTCTCTGTCAAATAAATTGAAGCCTGGTAATAAATTGATGATGAGTTCCAAACATCCCCTTGGTTGGAGACATTGTATTCTCTCCACTCACAATGAGGTCCTGCCAGTGTCCAGGAAGTTTTGCATGGGGACTTACCCATCCTCTTAGAATTACACTGCAAGTCACTCTAAAGCAATAGCATTGTTAACGCATGTAGTTGCAAAAGCTTCCTTTCACGAGCTCACTCTTCTGAATCCAACAACTAGATTCCAAGTATGGTATCTTAACTACACCACCAGCTCCATCTTGCTTCATTGTATGTTATGAAGGGATGAGTAAGCATTACACATGGGCTGCAATGGTCCAATGATGACCAGTCTGTTCAAGACCCAAGAGGGCTGAGCTTGGCAGCCCTGGCCATTGTTTACCATAGTCTAATGAAGATGAGTAAAAGCCTGTCTATCCCCAAG